ACACACACACACACACACAAACACACCTTTCTGGAATTATTCGATACTTTATAATCAAATTCAAGTGAACCCGGAAATAAATAAATATGTTAAAAACAAACAAACAAACAAACAAACAAACAAACAAACAAAAAAGTTTGATAATATCCGTGAACCTGAAGTTCAACAACCACATCATGCCGGACATGTTTCGTAACAACACTGTGATTAACCCATTGATTTGATCTAAGCGTATGAACTTTAGCCCCTTTGGCTATTTCTAGCTGTCTGATTCAATAGCAACTCTACCTTGACCCGGTATTTCTTATACGGCTGAAAGAGTATAAGAAGTGGGATATGGGGCCTGAGGATTGCGTGGGATTTTCAGTGAACAATAGACCGGTTGAAAAGATTAGCGGGTAGGAATTTCTGTACAATGTGTCTGTTGGCACGTAGCTTATAGTGCCGCTTGTGATGAAAGGTTTAATGCCCAGTGTACACCGTCAGTCGCATTCATTTAGCTTTTAGTAAGAGTTTAATGGCACTTGCAACACAAATTGCTCATGTAAGAGCCGAAGGTTAGAGGTAAACCTAGAGAGTTTTACGGCACGTGTAACACAAATATGTCTTATAAGTGCCGAAGCAAGATTAGCGGTGAGAGTGGTTGGTGTGTGCTCTGGTGTGGTTTGCTTCTTCTTTCCTATCAAACATCTATCGTCTTTATCTCCCCCTCCCCCCCTCCTTCTATTTTACGTTTGTTACTCTCTTGTAACACCTCTAATCTTCTGGCGCTCATATGACCTTATGCAGTTGCGAGCGCCGCAAAACCTCTACTAAAACATCTTATAACTGGACGTTGTTGGGTTGATATAGATTGTTGTTATGACGCTGATACTGTGTTGTGTGTTCCGCTACGTAGTGGAATCAGGCTGTCGTCCATTTTTGAGCATGTGGAGTTATTGGTATCATCTAAAAGCTGATTTATTTGCCTTGCTTCCAATGAAATGAATATCCATCTATTTTGAATAAAACTCAAGATATTTGCGACTGAAGGAAGTAAGGTCACCAGGTTTCAGTTGTAAGATTAGCGAGAAAAGGGCTGCCAAAGTTTGGTAACTTCAATAACTAAAGAGCCTTCGAAAACAGAAAAATGACATACTGTGTTCCTTTC